TGCTAGGCTAGCGTGGCCAGCCCCGCGGTCTAAGTAGGGAGAGAGCTGGAGCAAGGGTAACGAGGTGCTCTGCTTACTTATTTAATTTTTTTTAAGCTTTTAGTATAAGCCCTAAAGGTCAGTGGTGTGTCCACTGTATTTTAACAAAGTATTTTTTTGAATAATATAAATTTATTTATTGCTATTTCAGCTACTGGAATACAATTTCAGTGTAGTTATTGCTATTTTTTTAATTGCATGAGTACTTAAGTTTTGGGGTTTTTTTTAATTATTATAGCCTGATTTGGCTTCCAGCCTGATCTTCAATGTCCCAAAATCTTAAAATTGTTAGAAATCTGTACAGAAGTCCTTGGCATTCCTTTAATTATAGGTTGTGAGAGAGTTTTGAAATATTACCTCGAAGGAAAAGTGTGATGTAATAATTCTGATAACGTTAACACGTTTTCCTGTTCTTGGGATTATTTTTTTTCTTTTTACAGAAGAAGAAAGCATGTTTGTGGCTCTGGAGTAACAGATTAATTAATTTTTTTTTTAGGGTGACATTAAACAATGATCGGATAGAGCTCCCTCTTGATTCAAGTAGACTGTGTTTTTTTAATGAGGAATAAGATTAACTGATCGTTGCTTTCACAACAAACCTCTTGTTAAATGGTACTCATAATTTAGGCACTTCTCAGTAGTAGTTTTTAAGGGAAGGACACTTCAAAATAAGGTTGAAGAAAATTACTTCTGATTATAAGAATTTGCAAACCTAGCTAACTTGCAAACATTGGAGGACACAGGAATCATTTTTTGGGGCCCTGTTTTCATTTAATGAGCATTCTGATGATGGCACTGACTTACCCGGTATTTAGTATACCCAAAATTAACTCTTGGTTTCCCCTTAGGTCCTCATCCATCCCGGTTAGTGTAGAATTAGAACAGTAGTGTGACAGTTGTACCTTGTTTTAACTTTTTATCACAAAGCTTACATCTGTAGGCTGGAATGTCTCACAAGTACTGGTTGGTTTCCTTGCAATGGGAAGGATGCTTAACTAGGCCAGATAAAACAGCAACATCCTCTTACAAAAGTAATCCTTTGAATTTAGGCACAGATACCAGTTTGTTAACTTCTCAGGACATTACTCTTTAGCATAAATCTCTTGTTTGTAATGGTTGTCTAGTCAGATTGGAAGCATTTAAAACAAAATCTAAAAGCTCGTTTATTACACTGTAAAAGCATGTCTGTGCTAAAGGCTAGTATAAAACTTTAGAAATAATTATTCTTCTGAAGATGCTAGTTAGAAGTTAAACCTATCCATTAGAGGAAAAATACGTAGCTAAACCTTCTCTAACTGATTTTAAACTGCTAATGAGTTGTACAATTGCTGTACAGCAGAAATTTAGAAGCCTTCCCACACTGTCGTGTAATTTGGTCCAATACATGCTTCTCTTTATTGAATAAATAATAGGAACCATTTGATGTCACCAAGGTTAGTATCTGTTCTGTTACAGAATTTTCTTTTCTCAAGACTTATGTTATTTGTTATGGACTTGAACTTGGGCTAAGCCTTTTTAAACTTGAAATGCTCTAAGTAATTTTCATGTCTTTTTTGTTTGTTTTTTGTTAAGAGGCAGTTTACTTTAACTTTATGGAAAACCAGAATTGTTTAATATCCTTGAGCAAGCAGTGGATGTCTTGCTATAGTGATCTGGTTGTAGAGTTTAGAACCCCCTTACTAAATAAGGGTGTGGGGTTCTTTATTTTTATTTAAATTATGAATGTAAATGTTCTTGCTCAGAGGAGATTGAAGTTTTCTTATGACTTAGGGTGGTGAAGTAAGGTACTCTGGAGAACTGCATGAGAAATTGTAGAAAGATGAGAAACAGTCTTGTGCGTTACAGTTGCTTGCTAAAGTATTTTTTTTTTTAAATAGTAGCAGTTCATACAATTAGGCTATATATGGTAGGTGTAATCAGGTTTTGGTGTGAGTTTTTTTTTTTTTAATGTGGATATTACTCTGAAACAACAGTGTGTTTAGTGGATTGGTGCCCTAGAGGAAATTATTCTGAATCAGGTGTTCCAGGAAAGTTTTCCCTTTATGTAGGTAAGGCCATGAAAAGATGGAAATAAACTTTTTTTTTTGGGGGGGACGACACCACCTTCTCTTGAATCCTGTATTATTGAATACAGATCTTGCAGAGATCTGCAGAAGATGAGCAGTTCTATAGCCAGGTGTCGAAAATTTAAATATTGGTTAAAGGTATTATATAAAAATGAAAGCAATATTTTCTGCTTTCAATTGAAAGATAATGTGAGAGTACCGTCCTTGTTATTTTTGAGGTTCTGAAGATATTTTTTCCTTTTACTTCAGAAAAAAAACCCACCACCCAAACAACAAAAACCCAGCACACAGGAGCAATGTAAGCAGTCACTTATGTTAAGCAGCTGACTTTCTGTGCAAAACAAATGCGACCAATCAGTTTGAAAAGATAAGAGAATATTTCTGTTTGCTTGTGTTTAACCTTTTTATTGTGCTTAGTTAGTTAGTTTTGCCCCCCCCATTTCCCCTTTCACAGCATGGGAGAAGTTTACTCTTGAAATATGCTCTGTTTTCTGTATTGTAAAACTTTAAAATACGGTGCCTCTGTAACAGTGGCCTTTTGCTATCTATTGAAATCATGGGAAACAGTCGCTGAAGGAGGCTGTGGATAGAGTGTATCTCTACACTAGGATAGGTTGTAGATAGGGAGGAGAACCATACAGGCCTCTGTGAGACCTTAGGCTGGTATCTCTTCATTGGGCCAGGGAGGCTGGGTCACAGCTAGTCTTGAATGACAGGTTCTTTAACAGTGAGATTGCCAGAGGCTCCCCGTCTGAGAAAGGGACTTTTTAAAGAGAGCTTTTCTCACTGACTACTACGTGTTTGTTTTAGACTAACAAGACAACCCCTCAAACTCTTATATGTTATCGAGGGGAAAAAAACTTCATCAGATTGATTGCTAGTTAACGGCATTAGATGTTCCTTTTAAAATTGTATGTCTACCATTTAAAATACGAGGCAAATGATGTTGCAAAACAGATATGCACTATTTTTACATTTTGAAAATAAAATCTCATACATCCTTTCAGGTAATTTTCTTAATCATCTGTCAAATTTGACTTTGTGGAACTTCAGGATATAACTGGCTGCATTGTAGTTTTTCAAATTTCCAGTTCTCTGTTTTTTGCCAGCTCTAGAAATGTGAGCTGTTAGTTGGGTTTTGGTAATTAAAGATGTATGGAGAAATCTATGTGAAAAATTAAGAACTGGGTGGTCTTGTAATGCCTGTTCTCTACAAGGAGATTACTGAAGCCAAGAAAATAGTCAGTGTTCACTGTGACCATCATTGAAAATCTGTAGGTGTTTCACAGAATACTGTAATTGTTTGAGCCATCTGTCTGTTAACTGCCTTCATATATAAATCTGCCTTAAAGAATATCTTTAAAGAGTTGTGTTAGTGTTTTTTTGTGTGTGTGCAGTGGTGAAAGGTTCACTATTAATTAGCCTGTTACCTTTCAGCTCCAATGGCGATTCCTCCATCATACGTAGACCTTGGCAAATCTGCCAGAGATATCTTCAATAAAGGATATGGTAAGAATAGTACCTTCTATAAACCATTGTGATTGTGGTGCAGCAATCAATTGCCTTTTTAAGCCTCTATATAAAATTGAATGCTCAAATGCCTCTGTTTCTGGGGAGGGGGAAGGTGTGTTGTTTTTATATTGTTACCGTCAACTAACAGATCATTGGAGGCTTTCTGTGGGCTGTTTTGATGTGAAGTCTCTTAAATCTTACTGCTTTAGCCACGTAAATGTCTGAGGTGTACAAGTATGCAAGAACGTAAGCATCAAGTGTAATTTAACTTAGTACACTTTGTTTGCCAGTCTGTCTATGCCACATTTGTTGATACAGAAAGGGATATATACCACTGTAACATTACAGCCTTTTTTGGAACACAAAGAGGAACAGCTAGCGGGATAAAGGATTGTTCAACATTTTAAAATGCTTTAATACCAGGCAGTTGCATAGTTAAATTCTGCTTTGTTACAGTGCTCTTTCTTTCTGGTCTTTGGGAATGCATGTGGGGGCTTTTTCACCAAGGCTGTTGCTCAGCTCTAAGGGTAAAAATGTGAATTGACGCTCCTTTAAAACCTACTTGTATTACAGTTCCAATGGCTATGTATTTTCCAGTGACTTCACTCTTACCTTTTTTTTACTTCGAGATATTTCTTCTTGGTGCCGAGAGATGAATTTTATGCATTGGGATAGCTCTTCAAGTGGCATTGATGACAAAGTCAATCATGGGAACAGAAAAGAATGGTTTTTGTCTGTCACTAAATTTACTCTTGGAAGTCAGTGTTTGGTAGTTAAAAGTTCAAAGAGGCTGCTCCCCACTTTCTGTGTGGTGATGACAGAACAGAACTCCTGGCTTCTTCGAGAGTGGCCTCCTCTACCCGCTGGGGCATCTAAAATTTAAGTGTTGCTCAAGTCAGTCTGTGGTTGATTTTATATATGTATGTACGTGGCGCACTGCTAAGGCTGCTTGGAAAACTAGCTTGGAGAATGTGCGTGGTCTTAGTTAAAGCCTACTGGTGTAACTTTGACTTCTGTTTGTTAAGGTTTTGGGTTGGTGAAACTGGATGTGAAAACAAAATCTGCAAGTGGAGTGGTGAGTTTAAGTACCTTTTACTCATTATGTTTTTTTCTGGATATCTTCTGATATTTAATTAGAAAGGACACCTTCCAGATGCTGCTAAGTAGTTTATAGGTTATATGAATGATAAACTTTTGGTGTAAAATAATTTCAGAAGATCTGACTTTATTCTGAATGTAACAAGGGTATTACACTGTTTAGTAATCTTTGTAAAATAAAAAGGTTTATTAGTTGTGCATCGTCTTATGCCTGAAGGTGAACAAATAGCTGACGTTTTTGAAGTACTTTTATATATCAATCATAGTACACAATTAATTTCTAAAGTACTTTGTGATACTATTTGTATTTGGTGGAAATGTCTGGCATCTTAATGCTTGTGTGAAGTAGCTGACAGTGAATTAGCATGTTGAATCTTTGGCTCCTCTTTAAAGGTATTGAAGTGTTGCAGTAACATTCCATGCAAGATGTCTTGATCACGCAAGCAGTGCCTACTGTAACTTTCTAGAGCAGACTTTGCAAGATACGGAGATAGGTTTGGTTTTTTTTTTTTCATAACTGGAAGCTTTAACAGTGTAACTGGCTGTTAGAAACAAGGTGTGTGGGCTGTGTTTGTTCTAGAAGTTTGTATCCCAACTGAAGCACAGTTTGCAGGAGCCCTATTAATAGATGTAGTTGTTCTTATTGTAGCTTTTTTCTTTCGAGGAATACCAGTAATACTGGTAAAACTCTCTGAAAAATCCACGCCGTCATGTGAATCCCATATTAGTTATAAGCCATCCCTCCCAGGAGGAGAAAGTGCTGACATGTATGTACTGCAGATGTTTGAAAGCAGAGATAAGATATAATGTAATAATGCTGCCCCTGAAGCTGTTACGACAATGGTTGCAGTCACATATACCCTGTGCAGTAGCAATAGCACAAAGCATGAAGTTAAAGCTGAAGGTATTTGCACTTGAAGTTGTGTAGTCCCTGTCACTTGCCAAGAAATAGACCTTACTAGAATTATGCAACTATGTGAATGGTTTTGTGGTTCGCTAACATAATTCAAGTAAATGTCTTGGCCGTAGTTAAATTTGATCAGCCACCATTAAAGAACAGTCTTATGTTCTCTTGCGATGTGTAGGAGGTCTTGAGCTGTGAGAATACGAATGCTTAAGGACTTGTGATTTCAAATCCATGTTTCCTTCTGGGGTGAGTCTGAGGACTCTATTTGAAAATAATACTGTGCATGGAGGAAGTCAAAGATCAAAACTTTGATTTATATGTTTTAAAAAGTTGAAATAATAAACTTTTTAAACCATGAGGGCAATAGTATTACAGTGGAAAGAGCTCCTTAACATGTATTTGCAAACCAGACTTTTACTAGGTATTGCCTTTAGTTTCTCAATAGTGGTACACAGAAATTACTCATTCCGTTCTTTGTGAGACTCCAAATAGTGAGAGACATCAGGTACTACTTAGTTTAGTAAGGAGATGTGAGTGATATTGCCAACTTGTAAATACTTTCAAGACTTCCAAGTAAGACTCTACCAGAAGCATAGAATCAGACTGTTGCCTTAGCTCACAATTCAAACATGAATGTTCTTCCAGGGTATCATTAAACCAAAGTCTCAAGGGGATAGGAATTTTATAGATGTCAGTAAAAACACGTGCCTATGGCTTGTGTGAAAGGCTGGTGCATTGGTTAGACGGAGAACTCTCTTAAGAAGCAGCAAAACCTCCAAACCAAACAAAAAACCAAACCACCACCCACCCCACCCCCAATATGAAAAATGATGGCATTCTATGACATTTTACAGCTGTACATAATGTATCTTTGGAGGTGGTTGACTGGAATAATGAAAGTACATATATGATCCTTAAGGAATTTTACTGGAGTTGCATTATGTGCCTTATAGCGTTCTTGGGTCTTTGATTCTTGATTTGCTCATTAGGAGTATGGGACTTAACCTTATATTTCAAGAACTTATTTCTGCTTTTAGGGAGAATACTTATGGTATTATCTTGCTTCTAAGTTACGTTGCAAACCTGTACGTTTTGTAATAGTGGCAGAAACACTGCAGTTGAGATGGGATGTGGGGGGAGGCCTCCATGTGGGCGTGAATTGTCTAGTTCTTGTGTGTGTTGTTCGCCCTTCTCTCCCTATGAGTTGTCTAACGTTGTTAAACTTGTAGCATAGAATAACAAGGTCTTAGTGTTTGCTGAAGAAAAGTCTTCTCTCTTTTGGCACTGTGTAATACTTTCAGGATCACGTATATCTTCTGTATAATCTGGACGCTGTCCTTTTTAGGAATTCACAACATCTGGTTCATCGAACACAGACACTGGAAAAGTGAATGGAAGCTTGGAGACCAAATACAAGTGGGCTGAGTATGGGCTGACTTTCACAGAAAAATGGAACACAGATAACACTCTGGGAACAGAAATTGCAATTGAAGATCAGGTAATAAATAGATTAGGATATAGATACTCTCAGATAATGATAGTGTTTATTTGTTTTACCTAACTAGCAGAACTGAATTTATAGCTTTACCTTATCTTCTTCCTCTTCAATTAGATTGCCAAAGGTTTGAAGTTGACATTTGATACAACTTTCTCACCAAATACAGGGTAAGAATTGTTAACCTTTTTACCTTATTTAGGGTGGTAACACCCATGGTCAGTAAATGTTCATCTGGTCTGTTGTATTGACAGAGATCTTTGTATGGTTTGCTATTGATTTAGCAAATCCCAGTGCTAAAGGCTTCTACTCTTTAGCGTCCCATCTTATTCTACAGGGTTAGTATTGGACATTTCACAACAGCCCTATTTGCTTATTTTCTGGGATGGAATTACTTGAAAGATTGCAGGAGTCATGAAAATGCCTCTGCATTCATGACAAAATGCCCTGTGCTTTGGAGGGTATGCATGTGCATGGCATTTAGATACATCATGTAGAGTCATATTGCTCAAATTTAGCAGTTCATTGCCTTGTTTCAAGATAACTGTTTTTCTGTTTCAGAAAGAAAAGTGGTAAAATTAAGTCAGCTTATAAACGTGAGTGCCTAAACCTAGGCTGTGATGTTGACTTTGATTTTGCTGGACCTGCAATCCATGGTTCAGCTGTCTTCGGTTATGAAGGCTGGCTTGCTGGTTATCAGATGACTTTTGATAGTGCCAAATCAAAATTGACAAGAAATAACTTCTCTGTGGGTTACAAGACTGGAGACTTCCAACTGCACACTAATGTGTAAGTACTGAAAATTGTGTTGAGATTTACAGAAGCAAGTTTTCTCTACCTTTTCTTCTAGTCAGAATACAAATGCTTGCAAGGCTGTGGAGTGCATTTTTCAATAGGAAACAAGAAGTAAATGATAAATGTTACTTTGTATCTCTCTTTTTCAAAACGGTAAATACCAGTGGCTTGTTAGTGCTAACAGCATAATATATTCTACAACTTAACCAAATACTGAAGTACATCCAAATTAGAAGTTCAGTAGTTCAGTTAAGCAGAGCTGATGATAATGCTTTTTCCAGCTTTCCCATTACGTTGAATTGCATCTGACTATAATTTAAGGGCAGTAATTACCATAGCACTGGTTAAGTACGCCAGTAGTAGTCTCTGGAGCAATACTAGAGCTTTGCTTTTGGACTTCTTGAGTAGGTTCATCTTCTTGCCTGTCTGGATGAAGAGTGCATGAAACACTTAGAGTGTAACTAAACAAGTGTAAGATACCTTGTTTATGAACTTCAGAGTTGCTGCCTTTAGATCTTAAATGTTCTTCAGAGCACGCTGATCAAAACCTACTGAAGAAAATGGTGTTTTCAATTTAAATTAATAAAAATTGGCATTGTTCTAGTGCATTTAGTTCAGAAATAACTAACTTGGTTTCTGAGGTAGAAGTTTACCCTTTTGGAGGGGGAGGATAGGGATTGTGTCTGGGTTTGTGGAAGTTGAGGGATATAAGAGGAAGCTATAAAACATTTTATAGTAAGAATTCCTTTTCAGTTCACTAATGTCAAACACTGTGACAGTTTTTAAAAAGGTCATCTAATTCTTTAGGAGTATCACATGTATTCAATAATCATAGAATTGAGAATGCCCATTCCCTAACTATTAACATTTATCTTCTAGTTTTGTAAGGATGTGATCTGGAATTACATTCAAGTACTTAGTGCAACATTAGTGTGAGAATGTGCTTGTAGCACTCTGAAATACTACTCCCCCCTCCCCGCCCCCCCATGGCTTGATTGCATTTTAATTTTGCCCTGAAGCCTTTATTCATCTCCCCTTCTCCTGTCGAAAAAATGTGAAACAACTCAAACTTTTGGAATCCTCATTTGAAGAAAAATTTGACATAGTTAAAAAAAATTAGAAAAATGTTGGTGTTATTTAAATACAGGAAACTAACTTTTTCTTTACTTTGTGCAGCAATGATGGTTCAGAATTTGGTGGGTCAATTTACCAGAAAGTGAGTGACAATCTTGAAACTGCTGTAAACCTGGCTTGGACAGCAGGTAGCAACAGCACTCGCTTTGGTATTGCGGCTAAATACAAGTTGGATTCTACTGCTTCTATCTCTGTAAGTATGACTCTTACCAAAAGAGTTATGCTGAGCACAGTTTATTTTACAGTTTCTGCCAATTTGTGTGTTATTAGTGCAAAAGAAGGTAATAGGTCAGGAAGTTTTGTACGAATTATTCGTACAATCCAGACAGTTATAATTATAACAGCAGTATTTAAATTCTGTAATGTTGAATGTAGCAAAGTCTCTTTTAGAGACTGTCAAATGTGCTGCTCTACAGGACTTAATGTATTTATTAAAATTAAATAAATTGAAAAACAGCCTTCATGTCTAATTCCGTAGGTTGACATAATGTTTTTAAAACCATTTTTGGGGGAGCTCTGCCATGTTCTCATGGTAAGAGCTCCGACGATACTGGTTAAAGGTGATATGCAGAAGAGTTTTCTGTACGTTATACAGTTAGAATCGAACCTGGATTGTTGCATCACTTCCTCTATAGGATGATTCCAAAGTGAGATAAATAATTTTTCATGGTGTTTATGATGATATTATGAAATGTTTGCTGCTTGACTGATGGGACCTGCAAGATACTAATTCTTTTGTAATAGTATGAACACGTGGGATTCTTCTGAAGTGGTTTGTTTTGGGAGTCTGTGGTGGTAAATTACTATGGCCTTCTGAAAAGGGGGAAGTGGGGAAGTTCACCTGCCAAAGTACGTTCCTGTAACAGTTCTCCCTGCCATTACATTCTGTCTGCTCTTAAATATGTTACTTCTTCAGCTGTAAGTTGCGGGGCAGGGGCATAGCTGGGAAGAGAGAATCCAGTAAGCACAGAAAGAACAAGTAAAACTTGTTTAAGTTGATAATGGGGATGTTGCCATAGTTATTCTAGTTTGTGAGTGATAACAAAGAACTAATCAGCTACAACATTTCATTTGTTTTTGTCTTGTTTTTTTTTCAGGCAAAAGTGAACAATTCTAGTCTAGTTGGAGTGGGTTACACCCAGACCCTGAGGCCAGGTAAGGGTTATCATGTGAATTATACCGCATACATGTCTTTTGTGCATCGCAAAGAAAATCTTTGAAATCTGTGCATTTATATGCAACTGTTTCCCTTATTCTGAATAACTTTGTCTTGAAGGCAAAGTAGATGTTTTACAGTAGCTTATGTTGCACATCAAACCTTTACTAAACCAGACAAATTCCATTGTATCTAATGGTATTTCTGCATCACATTCCTCATTGATTCGTGTAGTAGTAGACTGTGTTGTGTTTGATAGCTTAGTTTTAGGCTGTGCAAAGCAGTCTTTTTTAGCATTGCTTTCTCCAGTTATATCTTATTGAATGATAGCAGGTCTTGAAATGATAATTAATTGTCAAAAGAACACACTTCCTGCTCTTCATACTTGGTAAAAAAACCTCCAGAACTTTGAATGTTCTGTTTACATATGAAAGCACCTGTTAATGTTAATGCTATATTACCATTGGTTAGTTCCTTATTTGAAAACCAGTAAAGATCATAGTTTCATTCCATCCCTTCCTTGGTACAAGTGTCTGTCTTTCTATTCATAATTTTTGTTCTTCCTCGCACACCTTAACGTGGAAATGGAGAGCTCTTGTGTACTTACCTACTAGAGACTTTTTAAATGCACTTTTTAAAATGGTGTTTACAAAACCCATCTAGCTTGATTCACATGGCTAGCTTTCAATAGATTTCATGGGTAAATGGATTCTTCTGTAGAAATCCTTAGAGGAGAGTAAAGAACTAGAAAAAGAGCTATAGTTGGGACTTGTAATGATGGAGATTGAGTTGCATGAATGCTGCTCTGACTGTATGTTGTAAACATGCTCTTTAAAAATCTTACAGGTGTGAAACTTACACTGTCTGCCCTGATAGATGGAAAGAGCATCAATGCTGGTGGCCATAAACTTGGTCTTGGCCTGGAATTGGAGGCTTAAAAAGGTGAAGAAACTGCTGCAGAGAAGGGATATCAGAAGAATTTGGCCTTAAAATGTATTTCCAATGTGACCAGCAGGCTTTTTTTTTTTCCAAGAAGGATGACCTAGAACAAGAGCTGTATTTGAAGTATTTAGACAGTTACTTGTTAGCTGGTTTCTAGTTAAATTGGTTACCCATCTAGTTGAAATTCTGCATTAGTGCAGTCACTTAAACATTATTTAAATGTATTTAACTGTTTAATGCGCTACCCACAAATAATGAAATAGACATTTATGAAAACTGTACAATTGTGTGCATGTTTGTTTTTATGTTCCTTTTAACATTTGATATTACCATTCAATGAAAAATGGATCAGTGGATGTTTTGAAATGAGGTCAACGATTTTGTTAAATCACCTTAAATAGAAATACATTTGGTATCCCAAGACAAATTATGAATAAAACAAGTACACACACATACTTGTGCCTCAGATATTTTAAGAATTAAGATATGAGGGTAGTGCTTAGTTAGTTTTATCTTTTAACTTAATCCAAGAAGTAGTGCTCTATACCTTTGTGCAATTAAGGACCCCCACCCATGACAACATTGAGTATAGATGGTTTTCACCGAACAGTTGGATTCCTCAAGCAAGTTGAATGTGCGTTTCTGTCAGGTAAGATTTGTCATGACATAATGGTTTACCTCCCCCTGTGTTCCACGGGCAAGATTTACTGCATTACTAGTTGACCTCCTGATGCAACGAGTGCAGAATGATGTACTTGGCACACTGAGACTTTTAAGAACTGCTCCTTGATGCTTTTGCAAGGGGTGAAAAACCTCACCACAGACACACCTTTTGCTTATATTTGTATGAAGTGAGACGTCTCTGCAACTGAATGTAACAGTATAATGGCATAACAGCCTGCTTATCCCAACTGCTGTGAGAGGTTTCTGCTTCAAATGACTGAAATAAAGGCTTAATTTTAAATGGAGATGGAGGAAAATGCATCCGATTCTGCTTTCCCTTTGACTAATAAATCTTGGCAGATACCCATTTTAAGTCCAGAAATGTGGAATAACGGAAAAACTCTCATGTTTTTCCAGGCTAGAATTAAGAGGTGATAGAAGTATGAGAGAGTTACTCAGTCTGTGAACACAACATCCCTTAAGGTCAAACAACTAGCTGTGAATGCTTTTGGTGTGGAATATGTTAAATATGTGTAGTTACAGTGCTTTGGTTTAGGAATGGGGGCTTATTGAGTTCAGGGGAGTGCCTGGAGCCTACTTGCAATCTCTCATAGCTGAGAAGGGTATCTTGATACTTAGTCTTGCAGTCTGTAGTTCATGGCAGCTTCCTTTATAGGGCAGGTGGCTAGTTTACGATCAGGAAGCTTTATCTCTGGTTAGCAAGCTGTGTTCAGTTCACGATGGATTAGACTTAACCCCCATAAAAGTCCTGGTGATTTGCTCGAGGTCTTGTTCCATCCTGCATTGTTGCCCTCATACTCAAACTCTCGAGTTAAGTACTCTGTTGTAAGCTGCCTGAGTTTAGGCTTTAGCTGTGGAATAGCTGAGCCACCTTCTTCGCAGAAGATAGAGCAGGGCTTAAGCTTCCAGCTCCGGCTGTAGAGCAGGCTTGCTCGTGTATTTGACTAGTTGTGTTACATAATAAAGAGAAGGTTTGGCAGCATTTGTGCTTTGGAATACCTTTACTACTGTTGTCACTAAATGCCCTTTTCTGAGGAAATTGTTACTAGTTTTACTGCACATTAACATTCATAAACTGTATTTTTAGTTGGAAGTGGTATTACGTGCTCGACCACTTAAAGCTAGAGACCATGTGGCCAGATAGTTGAATTTTAGTACGGGTTCTCTTTTTAGTATAAACATTGTTGGTGCATCATAAAGTGAGTCCAGGCTGCTTCTGGAAGAAAATAAATGCTGTGTACACCTGTATACATCATGCAGCTGTAGCACCTGGGCAGATAAAGGACTGTCTTTTGCTTATGAACAATGGCCTTGTTTGCATCCTTAAACCAGTATGGCTACAACACTGATGTTTCTCTGGTTTTGGAAGCTTTTGATAGGGCTGCAGTGGTCTGACACTTTTTTTTTTTGTGGTGGTGTTTTGTTTTCTTGTTTTGTGTGTGGTGGTGGGGTTTTTTTTTGTTTTTTTTTGTTTTTTTTAAATGACTAATGACTACTCTAACCCTTTGCTTCACTACCTGCTCATGTCTAGCTGTTCTTCTTGCGGTCACAAAATGGGCAAGTGAAATAAAAGCAGATACTGCAGAGTTTCTGTTCCGCTCTTCGTACAAATTAGTAATGGAAAGCTTGAACCTGTTCATTTTACTCTGTTTTGATGTGTGTCATTTCACTAGTCCTCAGCCTTTAAATCTTAGGTAGTTTCACTTGTTATAATGCTGATGGGCAACTGGAGAAATAAAAGGGCTCTGCAGTAGTAGAGACAAGTGTGAAAAAGAGTTTTCCTAAAATAACTATTTTGACCATGAAGAGGAAGTTCAGTGTCTATCTCTTGACATTTCACAAGTGAGGCTTATAAAAATGACTTTGAAACTTATTTTTCAAGTGTGTTACACAAGCTGGTGGTATAATTGGAGTTTTGCGGTAAGGAATATTGGTGAATAGCTCCATTTTGTCAGAACATGTAAAAAGCCTTAATGATAACTTTCAGTGCTAGCCAGCCTTTCCTCAGGTGTCATTCTGAATAAAATAAAACCACTTGAGATAACCAGTGACCCGAGCATGGCTGGGCATCTTGTTTGTGTGAACTGCAGCATTGCCTTCCTGCCTGATAGGGCTGGAGTAGGGGTTGTCCGTCTGCATATTGCAAGGAGACTTAATCATGCTTTCATAAATAAAAATCCTTTCACATGACATCGTGATGCCCTGGATTTTGCAAGTTACTGTCTTGAGTGACTCAAACTTATGTTCTTGTTGTGCCATAGAAATTCTCCAGATTTTTTCAATTAACCTTGTACTCTTCGCCTAGTTCTGGTTGGTGTGGTATATTCTTCAGTCTGCCTCTTGCACACCAAGTCGTTCAAAACCAGGAAATTTGTTTGGGAATTTGTTTTTGAAATGGGCAGGGAAACCTTTCACCCCCAAGCACTGGGGCATAGGTGTTTACCTTTCCCTTGGCTCGGGCTGGGATGAAGCCAGGTGGTAATAGAGTGTGCGTACTGCCCTCTAATGTCCTGTTCTGGTGTTGGGCTTATTGCTGTGATAGTCTGCTGGGTACAGCGGTGCATGTAAATCTATGGTGGCTGTGCTTCTGTAGAACTGAGCAAACAGAAGACAGCCCACGCGTGGATGATTCAGCCCTGCTTCTGTCAAAGGTCCTTGCTTCCTTATCACACCAGTCAGCAAAGACAGAGGCAATTCTATGCAAGGTAAGCCACAAATACTGACACATACTGGGCTGCACCCGTGGCAGCAGTGTCTTAATGGCAGGTACAAATGCTTCCTGTGAACTGGTGAAAATGAAAGCCCCCAAAAAACTTCTGATTGGATTCTTGGGTGACGTGAAAGGGCTACGTTTGTCGCAAGCGGTTTTATCATGTTTGTTAGCCTCCCTTTGCAGTGGAATTATTTTTGTTCCTGATCTGGAATTGGAATAAAAATACAGATTATATCAGTTATTGTAGTGTGCCTTCATTGTATTTTACTGATGCTTCCCTTCTCGTGATCGTCCCTGGGCCTGCCTTTTAGTTGCCTGTTGTGTCCTTCTTTCCACGTGCTGCTGGCTCAAATGGAAACTAATAAACAGCTGAATTCATTTTTGTGAGCCTAATGTACAGCATCGTCTGCTTTAGCTGTGGCTCTGATACTGGTGCTCATGTAAAAGGAGGCAAACTTCTTTTGCACAGCAATTTCTGAGTAATATTATGCGATTAAAACTTACAAAAATGCTATTAGATAATGTGGGGTGTTACAGACTGAGGTTTGGTTCATATCTACACTCGTATTTATGTACTGGTGTTGGGAAAGGTGCTGACAGAGCTTTAAAGCTGGCAACCACTCTGACTCGGCCTCAGCTCCAAACATTTGACCTTTACTGCAGCATGTGTTTTTAAATGAGAATTTTTTGCTGAAATCGATGCCAGGGAAATACCTGCAGCACAGTTAGGGCCAGTCAACACTCGTGCACACGCCAGAAAATTTTCAAGGGTTTCTGGGTGTTTCCACAGGGCCTTCTGTGCTGTGACTTGCTGTGATATTTAATGATTTTTGCACTGTTAGCAATTGAGTACCTTCTTTTTGGTTTACCTGTGCTCCTCCGAGCACTAAAATGCTAAATGGCTGCCACAGCCAGCTCGCTGGTGTGTGCTCCGTGGCGCGGGTGTGGGTTACAGGTGCCGTGGCGGCACCGCGGGGAGGGCGGCGTCCGCGGTGGCCGCGTCAAACACGCCCTATAACCGCGCCGTTATTAGGCTCCGGTTATTAACTCCCGCCGTGAAGAGCTCGTCCGTTCCGC